AAAGAGAATGACAGAGAGAGAGATAGATCTGCTGGTGTGTGGGTGGGGGATTGCTGAGAAGGAATTTGATTTCAATACCAATTCTGTATTCAATAAATATAAAAACTCATCCAAATGATATAAAATAAATCCTACAGATGTTCTGTTATGGATGTCCTGACCTAGATAATTCAGCCTAGATAGATAGATAGATAGATAAAATAGTTTCCCCTATATTCAATCATTTATTACATATGGCCTACTGCATGTCTATAAAACGTACCTCTAGGCAGTGGTTTGTATACACCTTGTTTCTCATTCATGCAAACTCCTTTGCCGTAAAGTAGAGCGTGCAGCGGCTTTTCCTCCCCGTTTCGAGGTAAGCAGCGCAGTCCCTGTCCACAAGTGCCCGTGTAGACTCCACACGCCTGCCCCTCGGTCAGTGCGCAGGTCAAGCAGCATCCGCAGCCGGGCTCCTTCACCACCTGACACCCCATCCGCACCGGAGGACACATGGACATCGCCTTCTGATCGCACGGCTCACAGGGAACGTACGAGGCCGAAAAGCCGGGTAGTCCCCACACAAATGTCATCAGAGTATACAAACTTATCAGCATTGTACTGTAGAGAACCTATCCACCAGCCTTGAATTAGTAGCCTAGAACCGACGCTTTCTTTCGTTTGAGATGTCGGAGAACGAAGGTGTAGCGTCCGGTTAAAGGAAGAAAGTGTATCGGTGTTTAAAAATATCAATTATTAATCCTCTCACCACTTGGTAGAAGAATCCAATGTTGCATATAACACCTGAGATCTATAAATTAAAAGGCTAATGCCCTGAGATGATCAGCGGAATTCGGGGGAAGAGCACGAACCTCAAAATACGTGTAATCAACACCTATATATTATAATATATTAAAAATGAAATCAATATGTGCCGGTTCTATTAGAGGTTCTGCAGCTTAATCAAGTTCACCCTCGAGAGCTGCTGTCAGTATGGAGCTCTGCTCATGTTAACCGCGTTGAAGGGAGGCGCACTGCACTTCATTTAAAGGTAGCCTACTGGTGTTTCTTGGGCGGATCCTGGAGTGATGCTGTGCAAAAACGTAGCTATTCGGAACAGGTTCAGATTAAACGAAACGCTAACAATAACACGATATGAGATAATGGAATATTGCAATCTGGCAATCACATATGAAAGTTACTGTGACTAATCATTTAACATAAAGTTAAAGCTAGCTATATAAATTTAAAGGCTTTAAAAAGATTAAAGATTTCTCTTCAGGCTCACGTCTCTTTTGGGTCCGTGTACGTTTTAATAGTTCGGAAATAACTACAAAGGGATATTGTTTGATTAAATAATTCACGGCGATTCGTTTTACCTTCATATGTAAATTAGTGAACACTTATTCGCACAAATTCATTTGTCATAGCAAATTTCAGTTTACATTTTAAGATTAAATCAGATGAATTATTAGATTAGCTAATTATCAGATCAAGTTTAAGTATTTTATTAAGTAGGCCTATATTTGTTTTATTATGATAGTAAACCCACAAATTAAAATTCTGTCATTAATTACTCACCCTCATGTCGTTTTAAACCTGTAAGACCTTCGTTCATCTTCGGAACACAAATTCAGATATTTTTGATGGAATCTGGGAGCTGTCTGACCCTGCATAGACAATGCAACTGAAATGTTCCCAAGTCCAGAGACTAGCAAGGAGATCGGTAAAATAATCCATGTGACATCAGGGGTTCAACCGTAATTTTACGAAGCTACGAGAATACTTTTTGTGCGCAAAAGAGAAAAAAAAACGACTTTATTCAACAATTCGTCTCCTCCGCATCACCCTGTAGCGCCATTTTGGAGAGTATCAGCTGGACCTAATGCTGTTCTGTGTCAGCTACGTCACGTCACGCCAGATCTGTCTGGTATTAAAGGGGTGGTTGATTGCGATTTCACTTTTTTAACATTATAGTTAGTGTGTAATGTTGCTGTTTGAGCATAAACAATATCTGCAAAGTTAGGAAGCTGAAAGTTCAATGCAAACGAAGATATTGTCTTTTAAAGTTCTGGCAGTTTAATGCCTACAAAAACGGCTGGTAGGGACTACAACAAATTACTTCCCTGGTTCGTGACATCACAAACCCAGATAAACCCCACCCTCGGGAAAAGGCAGCAAAAGGGGCGAGGCCATGCTGCGCTGCTTGAGAGAAGAGGAAGAGAAAACTAGGGGTGCACATAAAAACAATGCAAACGGAGATATTGTCTTTTAAAGTTCTGGCAGTTTAATGCCTACAAAAACGGCTGGTAGGGACTACAACAAATTACTTCCCTGGTTCGTGATGTCACAAACCCTGATAAACCCCGCCCTCGGGAAAAGGCAGCAAAGGGCCATGCTGTGCTGCTTTAGAGAAGAGGAAGAGAAAACTAGAGGTGCACGTAAAAATCTATTTTTATATATATATATGAATAGCGATTCTGTCTTCTAACAATTCTAATGGATTCACAGGTTTCAAAATCAATGTTCTAAAGCAGTGATTCTCAATACTGTTTCCAATACTCCAGCGTTCCCCTGCTCTACACACTCTCTGCATCTCTCTCTCTTTCTCTCTCTCTCGTGTGCGCATGCGTGGGCGTTTGCTGAGTGGGTGTGAGTAGTGTGTGGTGAGTTTGAATGAGTTTCTGCCCGCTGTGGCTTTTTGCAATTTTTTTTTTTTGCATGAATATTGCTTTTTTTCTGACGTTTGATCTGCATTGAGTAGATAAAACATTATTTTGCTTTTTGGTGTTTCACTGAGGGCGTGACGGCCCAAAGTGTTGACTTGTTCGGTTCATTAACGCGGCGCCATGTAGTTAAAGGGCTACTCCACCCCAAAATGAAAATTTTGTCATTAATCACTCATCCCCATGTCGTAAAACCCGTAAAATCTTCGTTCGTCTTCGGAACACAATTTAAAGGGGTCATATGATGCGATTTAAATTTTTCCTTTCTCTTTGGAGTGTTACAAGCTCTTAGTGCATAAAGAAGATCTGTAAAGTTGCAAAGACTAAAGTCTCAAATCCAAAGAGATATTCTTTATAAAAGTTAAGAGTCAGCCACACCTACCTAAAACGGCTCGTTCTAACATGCCCCCACATACCTACGTCACTATCTGGGAAGATTTGCATAACGCCCAAATGTTCACACAAAGAAAGAAGGCGTAACTTTTATTCCAATCAGAGCACACCTCGCTTTTTCAGACCGATGAGCTTTGTAAAAATCGACGCGTTTCAGAAAGGCGGGGCATAGAGGAGAAACAATAATGTACAGTATGTGGAAAATAATTTGTTTTTTGAACCTTAAACCGCATAAACACATTTCATTACACCAAATAATGTTCTTTTTAGCAGCATCATATGACCCCTTTAAGATATTTTGGATGAAAACCGGGAGGCTTGTGACTTTAGCTGCTAAGTAAATTACACTGTCCAGAAAAGTATGAAAGACATCGTCAGAATAGTCCATCTGCCATCAGTGGTTCAACCGTAACGTTATGAAGCGACGAGAATACTTTTTGTACGTGAAGAAAACAAAAATAACGACTTTATTCAACAATTCGTCTCCTCTGTCTCTCCACATCACCGTAGCGCCATTTTGCAGAATATCCTCTGAACGCAAGCAGCGTACGCTATTCTGTGTCAGCCGCGACACAAGGATACGTTTTCTACATGTATTTACTATTTACGCTTTGATTTGAACAAAAACAGCGCATCCATGCAGCGCGGCTGACACAGAAGAGCGTACGCTGCTTGCGTTCAGAGGATATTCTCCAAAATGGCGCTACGGTGATGCGGAGAGACACAGAGGAGACAAATTGTTGAATAAAGTCGTTATTTTTGTTTTCTTTGCATACAAAAAGTACAAAAGAGTTGATTCACCCTGGCGCAACATCTTTGAATTTCATGAAGATGTAAAACCAGAGTGGAGGACACTCTATAAGCCACCATTAACAAAAAGAATTGGAGACTTACAGTGGAGAATTATACATGGCATAGTTGCTGTTAATTATTTTATTTCCATTTTAAATCCAAGTGTTAGACAAGAATGTCCTTTTTGTTCTCAAAGAGAGACTATTTTTCAAGTGTTTATGTACTGCTCAAGACTTAAGCATTTATTTGACTTGTTGAAGGATATTTTTATTTGTTTTGATGAAAAAATTTACTGTACTAGTTTTTACTTTTGGTTTTAAATATACCCGAGGAAGACAATATGAATGTCAATTGATCAATTTTATTATAGGCAAGGCAAAAATGGCAATATATGTTAGCAGAAAGAAAAAAATTGAACAAAAAGGTGATTATAATGTTGTAATGATGTTTACGGCTATGATTAAATCAAGACTTCTAATTGATTTTTATTTTTATAAAGCTACAAATTGTCTAGAAGTCTTTGAAAATATATGGTGTCATAGAGGGGCATTGTGTTATGTTACTGAAAAGGAAATTTACTTTTCACATTTTCTATAAACATGATGTGATGTATATTTTAAATGTAATGTTTTTATGTTTGTAAACAGTTTCTGTAATGTTTTTTGAAAAATCAAAAAAATCTCTCTCTCTCTCTCTCTCTCTCTCTCTCGGAGACTTACAGTGGAGAACTATACATGGCATAGTTGCTGTTAATTATTTTATTTCCATTTTAAATCCAAGTGTTAGACAAGAATGTCCTTTTTGTTCTCAAAGAGAGACTATTTTTCAAGTGTTTATGTACTGCTCAAGACTTAAGCATTTATTTGACTTGTTGAAGGATATTTTTATTTGTTTTGATGAAAAAATTTACTGTACTAGTTTTTACTTTTGGTTTTAAATATACCCGAGGAAGACAATATGAATGTCAATTGATCAATTTTATTATAGGCAAGGCAAAAATGGCAATATATCTTAGCAGAAAGAAAAAGATTGAACAAAAAGGTGATTATAATGTTGTAATTATGTTTACAGCTATGATTAAATCAAGACTTGTAATTGATTTTTATTTTTTATAAAGCTACAAACTGTCTAGGAGTGTTTGAAAATATATGGTGTCATTGCCCCAGGCAAAGGGGCATTGTGTTATGTTACTGAAAATTAAATGTACTTTTCACATTTTCTCTAAACATGATGTGATTTATTTTTTAAATTTAATGTTTTTTTTTATATATTTCTGTAATAAATGTTTTTTGAAAAATCAAATCTCTCTCTCTCTCTCTCTACATAACATAAGCAGTAGCATTTACAAATAACAACATATCTACAAATATGAGACAACAACAAACAAAAAACATAAGCCTACCATTAAAAGCCGTGCTTGCACAGGTTCTGCACGATCCTCTTCAATAATATCCTCTGCTTCTCAATCAGGCTCCCATCGCCTATTTCTGAGGGCAGGGCTTCATAAAAGCAGGAAATGATCAGCGTGTTTCTCAGAGAAGGGACAGAGTGGTGTGGAATAAAGGTAAAATATGTGAAAAATAATTAATAAAAAAAAAAAACGCATTAACACATTAAAAGCATTAACACATGTTAGACTGCACCCCATAAACACAATCAAGCCTATAAAAAAAGAACCGCCCCTTTAAAAAGTTTGGCTTGTAAGTATATGTTTTTGTTCACATATTAACATAGTATGGACAAACATTTAATGTAAATATGAGGGATGAGAACTGTCTGAACTTTTATTGAGTCTATATGTTTTCTTTGTTTTGTACCTCATGCTAACTTTAACCTTTTCACTGGTGAGTTTAAAATATTCTATCTGTCCCCCCAGAGTGTGTTTTTTTAGGCAACTATTATTTTAGAACGTTTCCCCTTATGTTTCCATGGCAACGTGTCATGCTTGTGTAACAGTTAGGATTTTA